ATGAGAAAAAAAACAAACAAATAAATCTAATAAGTTTCTTTTTTTTTTTTTTCTTTTTAATTTCTTTCTAAAGTTGTGAAATATTAGTAAAGCTATTTTGTTGGTTGACAATATCTAGTAAATAAAATGTAAGTCTACATTTATTTTTGAAATAAAAATAAAAAGAAATGACATACATCTATTCTATAAATAAAATTAAGTAAATCTTATTGATGCTAAGCAGCATACGAATTAGTTAGAAATCATCTCATTATACATTGTGAAACATTAATGAAATATAAAATTAATAGAAAGATTTTGAAAAAACTAAGAGACAATCCAATGATATATTTACAAATACTTATGAATATAGAGCTAGTAGTGTAATTTTCCAAAGGCTGGGTTGGCAATGGCACATTGGCTAATATAGCCAACTTTTTAAGCCTGAGACTTTTTTAACCTCGTTTGATTTTTGTTGGGGTTTTTTTGACTTTTTTAAAAGAAAAAAAGTAATGATTATGGGTAAAAAGTGGTATTTTGTCTTATTGGCTTATAACTTATTTTATCTTTTTGTGATTTTTTAGTCCCAAAATCTTAGCCAAACAGCACTATATCATTTCTTTTTTGTTTTGTTTTTGGCAACAATTTTATATTTTATGTAGATGATGTTTCTAGGCGACAAATAGTCTTTAAAAGAGAGAAAAAAAGAAGGTGAAAACAAAAGAGAAAACTACATTCATATCAACTTAGCTATCATGGATCAGTTTTAGTGTTAGAGTTTCTCCAATGGTCACTAGCTAAATTCAATACTAAAGTTATATTTAGCAATGAATCATGTAAAAAAATATAATTAACAATTTTTCTTTTTTCTTTTTTTCTTTTTTTTTTTTTTTTTTTTTTGAAATAATTTAACAATGTTTTTCCAATGGTCAGGTTGCTATTCTTTGGCTCAACTAGTTTTGCTTAGATTAATTAACTTTCAACCACTATTTTCAACCATTACTCTTCCAACACTGCCACACACAAAAAAAAAAAACAAAAACAAAAACAAAACAAAAAAACAAAAAAGAAAATTTGTTTCCTATATTTTCTTTTTCTTTTTTTCGTGGTCCATCTGAAGTCATAAAATTATATTTTTTTGTGCTTTTTTTTTTTTGTTAGAGTTATATTCTTAATTTTTTATTTTTGAAAATTCGAGATGACATTCAGCAACTTTGTTGACTGAATACATATTTCACTAATAGACCTTGTGCCAATTTGACACATGGTATGTATGTGTATCAATAAAAATAAGGAAATAGTAATATAAAGTCTCAAAGGAATTGATAAGAAATCAATGCATGACAAACCAAAACAATTAAGTTTGAAACATCTTCAACAATCCCACATGATTAAAAATTAAAAAATTTCAAAAAAATAAAATAAAATTTTGGACTTAACCTCGTGTCTTGATGTTGATATCTTCTGGACTTGAATGTGAGTCGTTGGTGTAAAGGAGTTAAGTCTTCAATTCACCTCTAAATAATTCAATAATGCTAGTATGCTACACATACTTAATAATAAAAAAAATTACACTATTTTCTATTATATGAGAGAGAAAAATTCGATTTCATTATCGTACTAACAATTATTTCGAAAAACATTAAATATTTTATTTTACAGTTTTCAAAAATAATTTAAGAGTTTTTAATTCATATTGATTTTTAGTGAATTGTTTTTAAAATAAATTAATCATTTTTTTTTGTCCACTTAATCTCAATTACACTGAAAAACTAGAAAATTTGTGAAATTTTTTAAAAAATTTCACTAAATACATATTTTTGTTGTACATTTTTGTATTTTTTTTATGTTTATTGAATTTTTTAAAAAAAAATTATAAAGATTTTATTTTTAAATATATAAATTATACATTTAAAAATAAAATAAAAACTCAAAAATTCAAAAATTGTTTTATAAACTCAATTCCAAACTGGCATTGGAAACTTTTAAACATATAAAGAATTCAAAAATTCATTATATGTCGTTTGCAAGATATAATTGTTATGATAGACGTCATTTCCGTTATACCAAGTTTTACAGGTTCAATAATGGGGAGAACAAATCCTTTTTGTATACATTACTCATAAATGGACTGACACAGTTGCAGATCTCTTACAAGTGGGAATATCATCCCAATGAACTGGGGCCATTTTTGTTAGGAATAAACTTCTCTCGATGCTTCTCTTTATATTCATCTCTATTCTTTTTATTTTTATGGATTTAAATTTGGACTCTGTTATGATCCGAATCTATCCTCAGAGATTTAGATCATAATCGCCAGTAATCATGAGATTATATACGATCCCAGATAGTAATTAAATCATATTCAATTATATGGAGTCAGAGGCGGAAATAGAATTATCCAATTTGGTTGTGCACAAATGGCATAAACAATAACTTTTTATATATTAATAAGTCACCCATACATATATAAGAATTTCACATGTCCAAAATCATACATATGTCATTAACATTCAAAACAAAAACTTATATAGAGACATGGTCAAACATGACCAAACAAAGAGAACAAGAAATCAAAAGACAAAAGCCTCATTCGTAAGGCGATCCTTGGCTGACTCCACGAAACTCAGTAAACTTCACAGGTTCACTGGGACTAGACATCCCGCTACTCACCCATATACATATAAATACAGAGTAAGCGAAAGCCCAGTGAATAACATCAGAGTAAAGAGGTTATATGAATGAGATCTAATGTAAAAGTAAAATCATTCTCATCATATTAATTTCATATCACAACGGAACCAGCTCAGGTCCAATACATGACAGGACGACATTGGATCTAACATATACAGAGATACAGAGCAGAATAGATCATACTTGTTGGAATGACCACGGTACAATGACCTCAGGTCAAATAATTATAGTTGTATAAGCACCATTGGGTCAACACATAACAAATATTCAAACTTATTAGATATTCAGAACAACTTTGGGTCCATCTTGTCAAATTTACAGAATAACCTTGGATCCATTTCAGATATACAAAACAACCTTAGGTTCATCATATACATTTGTATTTCATCAAACACATTTGCAGATATCATGTTAATCAGGTAGATGGAAACTCATTCATACTTGTAAAATCATAGATTCGGAAAAACTAACCACATTAGGACATTTAGAAAATAGAGTAAATAATAAAATATCTTTTTTAAGATATTACTCACAGTGATTCGGTTGCTGACATGTCCTTGCGGATGATCCTACACAATTCATAAACATATACACATTGAATCACATTGTTCATTTGAATCATTCTCTAACTTATTCAATTCTCATAGACTTCATTCTAACTCTTAATTCATTTAGGATGCTCAATTCATGCTTAATAATGTTCAGAAAGGAATGAGAATACATAAGTGATCAGAAATATGTCTTTTCAAAATATGCTAAAATAGAACACTTCGCTCGAGCGCAAGATTAGTCGCTCAAGCGAACCACATGGTTTGCAAAAGTACTGGACTGTCCGAATCTAGGCTTGATGATAGATCAAGCCAAGGTGCAAAAAAAAAAGCGATCACTTGAGCGGTAACTTAGTTGTTCGAGCCAACTACAAATGTCTGCAAAAATACTAGATGTAAAAGATGTGCGCTCGAGCGATAGTTTGTTCACTCAAGTGATTTGATCGAATTTTGGGTTTTCCAGTCGCCAAGCGATGCGGTCGAATTCTGAGTTTTCCAGAACATAGTTGAACTTCAAAACATGTATTTTCAAATCAAAAGCTTGCATGGCTTATACACAACCTCCCAAACACTTAAAAACTCTTCTATAAACATGGACACAAAACCAACTCTCAAAACTCAAGGTCAAACTTCATGAATTCAAACTCAAATGATTATGCATGTAACATCTAACTCCAAATTCCTTTCCAAAGCTTACAAAACATAGAGATTAGCTTCAAACAACTTAATTCTTGAGTGAATGTATGATATGATCCTCAATTCAAACATGGATAACAATATTATGCTCAAAATGATTAAAGTCAACAAAATTTTCATGCATATATGATCTAGCCCCAAATTCTTCATTTTTAGACCATTCTCTTGTGATTAATCTTATAACTTCTTGAATACACATTTGTTAACTTAAACTCATGAATTAAGGTTCAAAAGCTACCTAAGCTCTTGAATCAAGCTTTCTCTAGCCAATTTTTGAGCTCTCTTCACAATTCCACAATCTCCTAACCAATGTTCCAAGTTTTCTTGTTTCTCTCTCTCGAACTTGCTCTTTCTCTCTCTAAGATGAAAT